AAAAATCTGGACAGAGAGGTTAAGAGTTCGAGCGTGTTTGATCATAAAAGTGTATGTGTTAAAATCGGGGACAAGAATACCTAGGTGACTCCCCAGCAGTGCCCTTTTACCCTTTTTTGGGGGAGGGTTCCCCTACTAAAATAGACTACAGAAACAAGGGTACCCTTAACTTAACCCTTATTCTAACCTCTCTACTGGAGGACCTAGATACCTTCCATTTTCTGGGTCCCCCTATTTAAGACAACCGAATTCGTCAGGCCCAGCATCTTTGGTATCACAAACTGGGCCCCGTCTCTTTGCACTTCCTTTGCCTGGGCACTCGATTTTTGTCCAGGGACTCGGGTCGTTTTAGCTCAACTATGGATCCATCCCGACTAAACCAGAGGAGCCCCCTTTCAGACAGAGTCATTTAAATTTGCCGATACACTTACAGGTATTCATAACATTGAGAACAGTTCAAAACCATTGGATATCAAAATGGTCTTAGACATTTGCAATATTGAAATAATTCGAAGCTTTTAGACATTCAGCTGTTGATGTGTTGTTTCCTGTCGCTAGCCACGAGCTCACAAACTGGGACCCGAGCTCAGGCGGCAGCATTCTTCTTCTCTTCTCCGGGTGCATCTTCCAGTGCCCCGAAGCAACGTACGCCCCGTTCTTTCCCGAAGGTGTGGGGTTGAGTGTCAGGTGTAGATTCCGGGTTTGGGCTTTGTTGCTTCGAACTTTAGCATTATCTTCATAATTATGATGTTGGCGTGTTGTATGATGTATGTTGTAAGTTGCATGATGCATGGTGTACGACGTGCGATAAATGGTGTGCGGAGTATGCTGTTGTCGTTTTCGCCGTCGTCGCCGCCATTGTCGTGGTGGTTGCCGTTGTCGTTGTTGTCATTGTGTTCGTGAGTGGTGGTGGTGCTGGTGCTGGTGCTGGTGGTGGCGGTGCTGGTGGTGGCGGTGGTGGCGGTGGCGGGGGCGGCGGCGGCGGCTGCGGCAGTGCTTCCGTGGTGGTTTCGCTGTTGCGGTTCCTGTTTTTTGTTGTTGTTGCTGATGATTCTGCTTGGACGGCATAGTGGTGCGTGCCAGGTGTGGTGCGGTATGTGTGGTGTGCATGTCAACGTGTGTGTGTGTGTGTGTGTCATGCCCAGGGGCCCGTCTCCGTCACTACTGACCACCGGAGAGTCCAAGAACAGAGGCTGAACACATGCTTGCAAGTGATGCAAAGTCCCTTGCCCCTTCTCGTGGTGAACCGCTGTTGTTTGCTTTGCCCCTGTTGAAGCAGCTAGAATTGAAGCCGAGTGTTTCATTCGCAGCTTGAGCCGAACGAGCCACTCGAAAATGTCTTACTCTAATCTTCTCCCCTCCTTGGGGTCAGGTGTGTTCACCCCATACATGGTTAACCCGGATGTTCCCATTGAGAGAGTTCGGGACGGGTCTGCCATTTTCAATTTCCTTCAGTCGACAAGCAAGCCACAGTTCCCAAGAGTCAAATTTCCGGCATGACCTCAGTCCATTGAAGTCGAAAGTACGCAGATCTTGCTTCGTTGTGCTTGCGTGCAGTGCACAACAGCTGCCTCTCGGATGGACGCAGCTACAAAAAGTGGTGCCATAGACCCTGAGGGGATAGTTTGGAAGACTAAAGTAGCAAAGACATGTTGAACTTTGAGAAGCACAGAAGAGAAACGGACGACGCAGCTTATCCTCGTGCCCGTTGTGGCTTCACTCGTTTGTGTGTGTGTGTGTGTGTGGTGTTGCGTGGTTGGTTGGGTTGTCAGTTGTTGGTTTTCTTGTTTTGCATCCCGCCCCGGTGATGCGTGCTTTCCGCTTCCGCGCAAGGAAGAAGATGCCCCCCGCTCTTGATTGTTTCCCACACTTGGCAGCCTTACCCAAGGCCCGCTATAGACCCTCACCAGCAATTTCCGTCCTCGCGTGATGTATGCAATCGTGCCTCAGCGAGCCTTCTCTTGTAAATAGGAAAAAGGAAGCTCAGGTATTGGACGGAGAGGGTAGCCCTGTCAGTTTAGGATGTGGCCGTCGAAACATGAGTCTGGCTCTCGGACTTGTATCCTGGAAACACCCGCACGCTGCTTTTTTGGGGCTTTGGCCACTGGTTCGAAGAAACTTCTGTCAATCCGCGGTGATGTGTGTTTAATTGTTAATTAGCTCCGTAGATGATGTCTTTCTCCAGTTGCCCAGTGGTGCCCGTTTTTCCTTTTTGGGCAGGTTTGTTTTCCTTTAAACTCAACCAACCAACAAAAAGGATGCCCTTTTTCCTGGGTTTGTTTTCCTTTAAACTCAAAAGGATGCTTTTTTTCCCCTGGCCACTGGGCATCTGAGTTTCTGAAAGGGAAGCCCGATCAGCTTCGCTCCGGCACTTGCCGGAGCCAAGGCCCTGCCGGCCCGCGGAGAAGCAGGATTAAGAGACTCACCACGTGGGTTTGCCGGAGCAGCCCGTGAGTGCAGGGTTGGATATGGGTCAAAAGCCCGTACCCAGTGAACATCCCAATCCCCACGAAAATAGGTTTTAAAATGGGTGTTGAAATTACTTACCAGCCAAAATGGTAGCGTTGGTTTTGACCCACAGCCATTTTGGCTTGAGCAGCCAGACCCGTTTAGGGGAAGCCAACAGGAGGTTGTTTCAACCATGTCTAAGCATGTGGCCCAGCTCTTGGATGGTGACGGCAGCCAAGTTGCGCGGCAAGTTTTAGATGAGCGCACGGCTCACGGATTCGATGGGCCGAGAAGCTCGCTTCGCGCGCCTCGCGCGCTGCGCGCGCTGCGCGCCTCACGGGTTGAAAAAACGGCTGCCGGCCGGGGGTGGGAAGGCAACCGAACCGGCCCGCTTGGTCCCTCGCAAGCAAATTGCCGGCGAACAAGAACAGCTGGTTTGTGGGGGATGCAACAGCCAACGCCTAAGTAGATGATAGCCGCGAAGGGACGGGGCATGGATCGGCCGGTAGCGCAAAGGGTTACCTGATTCTAGCCAACCCGATGCAGGTTGGGATTTGTTGCTTCAAAGGGCACTTTGTTCTGGGCCGAAAAGGGGCGCTGCATGGCGCTGCCCGTTGATTCGTTGGTGTTTTTGATTACAACGCCACAGAATCTATGGTTGTCAAGGGTCCCACCTAAGGGCCAACAGCCTCAGTAGAAACTAGCAGACCCTTTTAAAACCTAAAATGGTCTATTCCCTGCGGCTCTCATCAGTTCCCGTGGTGACAGGACATGTTTGATTTCCATAGTTCTTGCGAAACAAAAATTGCAGGTCTGGGATTCCAGACCTCAGGACAGGAATTATGGATTGCGACTGGCCAGTCGTTTTGAACAGCTTGGGGCCGAGATGGCCTTATGCTTCCATATAATTAACTCAACTGTCCCCATTGGAACATTGGACGCGGACGTGCTTCGTCGCAAAGCGCACCCGAGGCCGGAACATCGCGGCCAACGAGCGCACCTTGCCTGGGCGCCGCGTGAAGGTTGGGGCCTCGACTCAAGTGCTCGCAGCCATTGAGTGGTTATTAAATGTATTTTTTGCGGGTTTCCCAACCAATGGTTGTCCCATGAGGACCTCTTGAACCCTCAACTTCATCCGGGGTGAGCATGACTTTATGCCTATGTGGTAGCTGATTGTTGGGCTTTAGACTTTTTGAGTGAAACAGGTCGGAAACTCCAGAAGTTGGACCTACACAAATCAAAAAGTTACACAACTTGTTGGAGAAGGCTCAACAGCAACCAAGACGGAAGTGACACATCCATAGGCGTCCCTTCGTTTGGCTGAACGCTCGGGAAGGGTTAGTAGGGCTTGGTGGGAGCAAACTTTTTCCACGGTTGCCGGTCATCCAACTCGGCACCGGGTACCTTTATCACAACTGGAGGGGATAGCAAAGGAAAACGATGGAGGAGTTGGGATCCCACGAGTTTTAAGCCCAAGGGCCCGGAAGTCAGACACGCGTTCACGGGAAAACGGACGCAGGCTGGTGGGTCTGCAGGAAAGGGAGTGCAGGGCATGCGCGTTTGCCAGAGCTCAGCTCATGGGGTAAAAAGAGCGAATCCCTCAAGACAGGCTGGTGCAAAACATGTTTGGCTTCTTGCGGATCAGAAGAACCCAAGTGGAATCCTGTTTTTGTACACTCACCCCGACCAAGTTTTCAGGGCCTGTGACAGGGTCAGCTCCATGTGGGGGGGGGGGAACTCGGGACCTCGTTTCGACTGCTTCAGGGCCCTGCTTGAGGTCGTTTTGGGGTTGGAGGGCCCTCCTTGTTCCTTTTTAGTTTTAAAAGGAAGCCAAAAGGGAGACCATTGCCTTTGGCCATGTTTTTTGCATCTCATTTGGAGACGCCAAAAAAGCTCATTTGCCCATGGCCACTGGAGGTCATGCTTGAACAGTTCCCGGCTGCGCGGCTGCGGCCCAAGAGTCGACCGGTTAGCTTGGGTGTTGACTGCAGAAAGGATCCCCGGTAACCCATCTTCTGGGGTTCCGACGTTTGGAGATGCGGCCAAATGGCTGTGGGTCAAAACCAATGATACCATTTTGGGGTAGGTGCACCACCCATTTTAGTCTATTTTAGTTGGGAGTGGGATGTTCACTGGGGGTACGGGACTTTGACCCATGGCTAAATATGTCCAGTAGTAGTGAATGAGAATTTGGGGTTTGAGAGGGGCTCCCAAGGTTTCGACGCGAGCAAGGAATACGCTTGGCTCCCGTTGGCGTTGTGTTTGAATGGACATGGGGGGGTACCTTTTTGCCGGGCCGCGGATTTAGGTAGCTTCTAGGGAGTATCAACACAAGGGGTCCTGTCACTTAAGTTTACTTGAAGGCTGACTTGAATGGTCAAATCATGGGCTCAGGTTTGGATGGTCTTCCAAAACAGAACAAAGCCTAGGTCCCCCAGTAGTGCCCTTTTACCCTTCTCTGGGGGAGGGTTCCCTAGTAAAATAGACTACATAAAAAAGGGTACCCTTGTTCTAACCGCTCTACTGGAGGACCTAGAAGCACACCAAATACAGAAATCAGCCTCCAAGTCTCATGTCCTGCCTTCTCCTTAATGGTCAGAGACCTCTCTTCGCGGCGCGGCCAAGGAAAGAGATGGACAACTTCATCAGCATCATCCAGTACTTCATGCCGATGTTCCTCGTTCTGGGGCTCGACCCTGAGATTCGGTCAGCCCGCAGTCACTTTGCACAAAAGCTCGGGCTTTGGCTGGTGCAAGCCAAGGGGCTTGGCATACTTCACTTGGGGCTGTGTTGGGGGGGAAGCCCAACAAAAACCCTGCAATGTTGGAGGGCATCCGGGAAGGTAGCCCGATCTTGGCTTTGAGAGAGCAGGTGGATCTACGCGGTGTCGCTGCTGGTTCGAGAGGTGGTCTATGAGAAGCAGGCCCATCCCATTTCTTGGGTCGGATGGAATGCGTTGCTTCCAACTTGGCTCGAGAATTTGGATAGAGCCAGGTGGGGATGGCCAGTTTACAGGTGACGAAAAGTGAACCGAGCGTTGAGACACGTATATACATGTATAACGCAGAGGTATATGCATGTATTGGGAACAAGGCCACTTCCAATCATCCGCTGGGATGTGTTGGGATGCCCTGTTGAATCCAAGGCACCCCAAGAGCTCTTGTCAAGGCAGGGCTCTGGCGCGCCCCAACTCGCCGATGTTGGTTTCCTTTCGGATGAGAATGACCTGAGCCTAGCAGGTGTGTCGAAACTCCCTGTCTTCAAGCCTGAAATCATCAGGCCATTTCCTGCACCATCCAGGAACATGCACTTGACCCACTGGACGGCCAAATGTCCGCGGGCGGTTAGGTGGCCTTTTTGTGTTGCCTTAGAGGCATGCACCGAAACGGGGTCTCAGAGGTTGATGTCCCACACCAAAATAAGCTGGTCGCTCCCCCTTTTAAGTAACGCACAGCCGGGTCCCCAACACTACGTTTTAGAATAGCCCAATTCAAAACCAATACTAAACTGTCCGATATCTCCGCCCAGAACAGACCCAGTCGTATTAAGGGGCAAAGGGCTGTTTGGGACCAAAAGGTAAACAGAGGGCCTCCCTGTCCTGCCTATCTTGTCTACAAGGGCTGCTGAAGAAGATCGGCGAAAACACACTGTCCTGGCGGTCGGTCTTTCTTGCCCTGCACCCCTGCACCCCTGCACCAATTTGTGCTTACTGAGACCGATCAAAAGCGAAACGTCTTCTCTTTCAAAGTTTGTACTACCATTTGAAAGCTCGTTTTTAGCCCGATTCAAGGGATGAGTTTCTTTGTCTCCAGGGGAGCCCAACTGACCCCAAGGCACCCTATTGACAAATATGCCTTGTCCCCCAGACCTCATTTACCTCATTTATTTTAGGGGGTTCGCGTTTATTATTAGGGGGAACGGATTCCTCGGCCGGTTTTGTTTTCCACTTGGTGTCACTTCTCTTTGGGTTTAGTTCCAAACCACTGGTTCGCCGTGTGTAAGTGCCTTTCTGGGTGCGTGGGTGCTTGCGTCTGTGCGTGCGTGCTTTGGTGCGTGCGAGCGTGCGTGTGTGGGTGCGTGCGTGTGTGCGTGCGAGAGTGCGAGCAGGCTTGCGTGCATGCATTTGTGTTTTGTTGTGTTGTGGTGTGGTTTGGTGTGTTGTGTGTGTGTGTATGTGTGTGGGTGTGGTGTGTTTGTGTCTGTGTCCCAGTCTGTGTTTGTGTTTGTGTTTGCGTCTGTTGTTAAGTTTGGTCTATCCATGCTTCGCTGGGGTTGCGCACAACACGCAGGATTCTGTTTTTGTTGCCAGCATGCGGATTTCGACAGCCCGGCTTCCTCAGTACCATTATTCATGGGCAACCAACTGCTTGGACTTTCGAACTTTTGAACCCCCCCAATGCGGAAACCACGAGGCAGGCAAACCTTGAAATCCACAGGGATCCACATTTCTGTTTTGACAAGCCACACCCATATCAGCCATCCTTAAGTTTAGGGCTTCCCCAAATTAGCACATACCTAATTATCAATTTGAGCAGAAACCACCTCAAAAGTGATTGGTGGACATGCATCCCCACCTCAATGATGTCCACCAATACCAATGGGGTCCCCATTAAACATCACAGCAGGGTTGTCAAACATAGTGGCGATTGCTTGGCGCCTTTAAACACAATGGTACAAGGCGGGGTCCAAGAAGGGGGCATATTTTTGACAAGCCCTTAACATCATAGCCCCATGGGTCTGTGTCCTTATGGAATCTGACCCCTATGGGTGGTTTCCTTTTTCATCTAAAACAACCCCCCAACTTAAATACATCGTTGTTGTTTTCTTTCCTTTCTTTTTCTGTTGGCTTCCTTAAGCAAAAACACATGTTTTCTTTTTGTTTCCTTTTGGGGTTTCGTTTGGTTTCCCAAGCCCCCCTAGGTTGAACCCCTGGCCACCGAAGAAACCGACAGCCGACAGCCGGTCACAGGAGCACCTGAAGGACGTGATGCGGATCCAGGGGCTCAAGACTTGGGACGGGAGACCCAGGGCACCTGGGGCGGCGGGAGAGAG